AAATTAAACCTATATGAACATTTAAAGTTAAAGCCAATAAGAGAAAGTATGACCATAGAAGAAATCTTTGAGAATTGGGAAAAGGTAAAAAACATAGAAGAAATGATGTATTGGGAGAATAAACTATAAGAACTAGAATTTCTTAGAGAGGCCACAAGCTTAATGTCAACACACCTTCTTCACAGCTTTCAATTGGCAACAAATAGCTCAACAAGATCCATTCATAATGTTTTGGGTTGATTAATCTTTAAAGATTTTAGAAGACAATAACTTGGCAAGATTTTTATAGAGGGTTTGTAGAACCAAATACAGAATTATTTCATAGATAATATAAGCAGTACACATTTAATTTTTACACACTTAAGACTCACACTTTTAAGCACACTCACTTTGACTTCGACTCCAAAACCAACTCTCAACACCTCTGCAAACCACTCAAACTCCAACTTTGCCTTATAAGATGTAGTCCATGCCCTTTTATAGTTAATATGGATAAACTTCAAATTCAAACTTCAGACATAGTTTACTATGGGATAAGACCCTTCACAATTATTCAAATTTCAACTTCGAAATTCAACACTTTTAAAAGTAGTATAATTATATAGTGGTCCTTTTTATGATAAGATTTCCTCATAGCTTTTACTTTTTCATCATGTTTTCAATGTTGTATCACTTCTTATTTGTCATATTCTCCCAATATGAGCTATCATTATAATTGTTGCATTCTAAGATTTTTTTTCATTCTTGTTTTCACAAGTCATTTCTTCCTCTATGTCCATTAAAGTTGGTTTTAAAACTCAGATAAACTATTGTTATTAGTAAGAAATTAAGAGAATTAGTAAAATTTTATAATGAACAAATAACTATTATCATAGAAGTAATAAGAATAGAAGGAAATATACCCTATCCTACTAACAAACTACTTTAGGAATAACATATCCATAGAGTACAAAAGTCTATAGTTCCGAAACAATTTAAAATGTTAGCATTTTAAATATTAAGAGTTAAGTGTAATAATTAAGGAACTTTAAAAACCTGTTATCAAATAAGAAAAATCTAAAAATAGTAAAAGTAATGGTCAAAGTCAAAAGGTTTGGTTAAAGGGTTGAAACCCTTATATTTCTTAAGTTAAAGGGTTAAAAACCTTAACTTATAACTTGAAGGGTTAAAGATCTTAAAAATGAAAAGTTTAAGGGCTTCTAAATAGGTATAACATATTAAGCTTAAAAGTCCAGCTCAAACGGTTACACTATGCATCTCAAAGGGTTATACTATGCATCAGGGCATACCCATAAAGATTACATACCAAATTTAACAACTACAAGAACTCAAATAGATGTCTCAAGTGGTTAACATATTGACTTAAAATTAGCGATTTTGAATTTAAATCTTCAAATAGTTAAAGAATGATTAGGGGAAAGGGGGAACCATTTCTTGTTGTATTTGTTCATTATCTAATGTAAATAATAATAATAATAATAATAATAATAATAATAATAATAAACTAGAAAGTCACACTTAACTACACCATCCTCGCTATTATCAAAAATTTGAAAATTTCTAGTTTTCTTTTTGGTAAAAAAAAAGGAAAAAAAAAAAGAGTTGATCCTATTAAAAGAGTTCTTTGTCTTATTTGGCCAATTTCCAAAAACATTTTCTTATATGCTTTCACAAGTTGAAGTTGGGGAAAATGTTCTTTTTAGAACTAAATAAATTTGATAAATTTTTGCTAATTTTAAAAACATATATATTATATTAAGAGAATGGTTTTTTTTAATTTAAATTGCAAAAAAAAAAGCAATTTAAATTATGAAAATATTAAAATAACTTCAATAAATTTTATTTATGAAAAATATTTAAATATTTCATAACTGAACTGGTTTTTGTTATATATTTAACTTATGATTCAATATACTTTCTCATATTATAGCCTTTATAAAAAAGGGAATAGACATGGCCCAGGTGATCATCGATCAAATCACCCCATGGACTGGGCTCGGGCATTTCTCATCCGACTTCTCTTCCCTCTTCAAAAGCCCAAAACAATTTGACAACTAAAAAAAAAAAAACTGCAATTTGGGCGGGTATAAAATTATCGCTTCGTCCCGTCCAAGAGCTTGGAAACCCTAAACCCTCTTCCTCAGCACTCGTTTCTGCATCTGCGGCAGTAAGTCTAAACCTAAATTTTCTGTTTCTTCACCTGTTTTCCTAGACCTGAATGGAGGTTTCATGATTTCTCTAATGTTTTTGAGACGATCTGAATGGCTTTAACCTGATCGTGTTAACTTTTTTCTGTTCGGAGCAGGTGGAATGGCGGCGGTACCAGGGCAGCTGATCTGGGAGATCGTGAAGAAGAACAATTCTTTCTTGGTGAAGCAGTTCGGGAGAGGGAATGCGGGCGTGCAGTTCAGCAAGGAGAGCAATAACCTGTACAACCTCAACTCCTACAAGCACTCTGGTAATCACTCACCATTTCCTGTTTGTTTCCCGGGAATCATGAAGAAAATGAAACATAAAAGAAGAAAGCTTGTTTGTATTTTGGAGTTTGAACTGGGTTTCGTTTGTGGAAACTGTAGGCTTGGCAAACAAGAAGACTGTTACTATTCAGCCAGGTGGGAAGGAACTTTCTGTGGTCTTTGCCACGACAAAGACCAAGAAGCAGAACAAACCC